CGCTTTACCCCCCCTCCCGTGACCATAAACGCTTGGCAGAAAGTCCCCCGTACCTCCCCGTTTCACAAGGAAAGAAAGAAAAAACATCACAGGGCCCTTTATTTGCCGTGTCAGGAAGAGGCGCGAGATACAAGTGGTTTCAGGTGAGATCACGAGCTCAGGAATAGGAAGGCCACAGGACAGAGGCGCTTCCTTGCAACAGGGACAAACACAAGGACGGGAGCTGGGTCGGGACTGGCCTGGCTCCGTCTCCCCTCGCATCACTCTGGACAAGTTGGTTTTTTGAGCTGGAGACCCACCGCAGCTGATCTCTGCGGAGCAGCAGAGCTGGAGGGGGTCCCTTCCACAGCCAGCCCAGCTCTGCCGAAAGCTGGTGCTCTGGGTGCAGGGTGAGCCCTGCAGCACCCATGGGAGCAGAGCAGGACGCCCATCACCAAGCTGCTGGGTGCGGCCAAGCCTGTCCCCGGGGCTCTAATTGCCTTCCGCTTTCCTCCGCAGCTCGTTGAAGACCTCGGTCTGCCGCCTCTTGTCCTTGGCGCGGATGATGGTCATCCTGAAGAGCTTGCAGTAGAGCTCCATGGCGGTGGGGCTGTCGTCGTTCCCGGGGATGGGGTAGGTGATCAAACAGGGGTTGCAGTTTGTGTCCACCACGCCCACCGTGGGGATGTTCATCTTGGCAGCATCCCGGATGGCCACGTGGGGCTCAAAGACGTTGTTGAGGCTGCTGAGGAAGATGAGGAGGTCGGGCAGGCGGATGCCGGACCCGAACTGGATGTGGGCGTTGGTGAGCAGGCCACCCTGCCAGTAGCGGGTGTGGGCGTACTCCCCGCAGTCCCGTGCCGTGCTCTCGACCAGGTGGCAGAACTGGCGCTTGCGGCTGACGAAGAGGATGATGCCCTTGCGGTAGGCAATGTGGGCAGTGAAGTTAAGGGCCAGCTGGAGGTGTTGCATCGTCTGATCCAAGTCGATGATGTCCTGATCCAGGCGGCAGCCAAAGATGTAGGGCTCCATGAACCTGCAGGGACAGAGGGAGGGCGACAAAAGGGGACGCGGGGACAGGGTGCATCTGTGTGGCCCCACAAAAACCTTCTCGCAGCCCAGCTCCCAGCTGGTACCAGAGGTGGTCTCTGCAGAGAGCCCTTGTGCACAGCGCCTGCCCCAGCCGGGCTCAGGGGGGTGCAGGTCTGACGCCCCACTCGGTGCCTGCGCTGAGTGGGGTCCCTGCACTTCTGCAGGGCAGTAACTGTGCCCAGGTGGGTCTGTGTGGGCAGTTCCAGCCCCAGACCGGTCTGGTGCAGCCTCCAAAGGCTTACAGTCTGGGGAAACACCCCTGATGTCAACAAGTGCTGGATCACGAAACGGGGTCACTCACCTGTGCCGACATCCCTTTTTGTGCCCCAGGTGCACCCGAGCATCAAAGAGATCTTTCAGGGAGAAGAGCTCCTTCACGTTGAAGAAGTCGGGGTGGCTGAGAGGCTCAGACAGCAGCTTCTCATCCTCGGCTGAGAGGAGGAAAAAAACCCATCACTGCTCCCTCCTGCTGTGTTTGGGGGATGAGCAGGACCCTGGCGTGCCCGTGTCCGCTCGTGTGCAACGAGGGCCTGGCGCTACCAGCAAGGACACTGCTCACGGCCTGCCCCAGGTGCCGGGGGGCCGGGGCCCGGCTCAGGGACACCCCCCTCCTCTCCTCCTCTCCCCG